TAGCCTGCTAGTAAAGTTGCATTCTAAACACGCGTACTTGTAAGTTGTAACATTATTATTAGGCCTATCCATACGATTGTTAACAACCGGTTCGTGGAGGTCATTAAATTCTAAGAACAGGTTAGCATGAACCGGTGCGAACCGGCTGAATCCCACCACTGACTTAATCCCAACTTTAACCTATACAACCTAAACTTGCATTTTAATACATTTATATTAGAGTAAAAAAACTTAGACTGACTGTGATATTCAAACACTACATGTTTCTTTTTTCCTATGGTATGTATATTTAAGAACACAGATGTTTTTTTAATTTTTTCTAAATTCTAATTTGGAGCATGGTAAATTCAGTCAAGTTCATGTGTTAATTCAACTCTAGGTTCTATTTTCTTTTGCAGGATTCAGTCAAGAAGGCTATTTACTCTTTCATGGGATGGTTATATTGTATTCTATATTGCCTTGTGTGTGTGTGTATGAAATTATATTATGGCTGACACATGAAGCAAAGATGTATCTGGATACTTGTTATTTATTGGTCAGCTACAGAGTGATGTAGATCATAAGAGCCAGCAGATTTCACATTTCCAATTAGATTAGTTTTTAATACTGAAAGGAGTATGACTTGTAGCTGTCCTGTCTTTCTTTTTATAACATTTATTTGCTGATCATTTATGTTCATATTTCCCATTTTTTGGTCATAGCCTATAGATCTTTATCTTAGTCTAAAACTAAATTTATTTTCTCTTAAATATGGTTTCATGTGTTGAATATACAAGAATGTTCAATTTAAGAGTTATTATTTAGTGATTTAATATTTAATGATTATTTAGTTTTCATAACAAGAGTGTTAAAAGTTAATTATTTTAAAAGCGAGAGTTATGACAAGTTTCATTACATAACTCTGTACGAGATGTACATTGTGTATGCAGTTTAATTGTTGTACTAGGCTTGTGTAACATTGTTGACTTCATCTTACTCAAAGCTTCTAAGTCTTTTTCCTTATGTGTAATATTGTTGTTACTAGAGAGCTAGATATTTCTAGATTTTTTGTCGTGTGTTATAAATATGTGCAGATGCAGAGAGGAAGTAAGTAAATTAGTGAAAGTAAAAGTGAAAAAGTGAAGACTGCATGATTGTCAGCTTAGCTGTAATGGGAAATTTCTAAAGTGAAAGTTTCACAGCTTGTATTAGAACATCTTGTCAATTGGGTTCTAAAGTAATTGAACCAGCCTGTGTGGACTTTTGATGTATAGGAGAATTATTTAAAGCTCTGGATACAACTGTGGTGACCAGTAGTGTAACAAATTTTTTTTTGTACATAGGTTTGACTTGTTTTGAATATATATTATTTTAAAAAAAGTGGATTGTGTGCTGTCTGTTTATTGTTGAAATTTATCACCAACAATTCACAGACATGTACTGTAAAGAATCCAGCCTATATAAAAACCTGACAGGGGGTTCCACATGATTTTTCACTTTAATCCATCCTCAGTTTTTTGCCTTACATGACATGATTTGGCTTGTTTTGGAGCATTCTTTTTTGCATCATTATTGGTTATTGTTGTTCTCCTGAGTACATATTATTCACGATCAAATACCTACTTTGACATCTTTATTACCTACTAGTCTTGATGCTGTTGTTTCTATTAATGCATGGCTTTTATGATTCTGTAAATATTTTACCCATCGGGTTGTGTTAAATGGTACCCATCTTTCCAATAGATGACCTCTACATATATATACATCTATGCAAACCTGCTTTGCATTTGTCTTTTCAAGTATTTCCCTCTAACTGTATATCCATTAAGGAAAGCTAGCCAGCAAGACTTGATTAGGATTTTAGCACCTTGTTTTTTTTTGTGGTCATCATTTCTTTCTAGTCATTTATGTAATATTTTTGGATGCTTTTAATCTAGCCTAGCATCTGTGTAAGTAAGATATTTCTTTATGACTCAGTCATTGACTTTCTGTTCTGGATGTTTCCTCTGTATGGACTTTTGGGGATCATCCAAGAATTTTGTTGATTTATGGACCTTTTGGTTTGTGTACCTTGTGTTCATTAGGTTCTTTACTTTGATTTTTTATTCGTCATCCAGATTTGACTCTTCCACTTACTGTTTTCTTTTGGATCTAGCAGTTTCAAACCTTTTTCATGACAAAGGGATATTGATGCTATATTTTACATTGCTTCTCTCATCTCTTTGTAGTGCCATACACAACAGTAGATTGGAGAGTGGTCTTAGATCTTTACAGCCTCATTTATTGTCTAGATTTTCCTTTTTCTAGGTAGAACATATGATAATCTTATGAAAGTTTCTTAGTAACGTGTTTGGATGACAAATAGGGAATTAAAGCATCACTTATTTACATAGTCTAGTGATTAATCTCATTTTTGGTCAGGATTTGGCAATCTATGTCTTCACATGTGTAAGTCATACCATTAGCTAGTCTTCTACATACCACTTAGTATCAATTGTGATCATTACATGACTTGTTATAGGGCTCTTGCGCAGTGGTCACCTTTTTCTCTGGAATGGATTGTTCATGAATTCAAGTCTCTACTTGTTACTATTCAATATCACATTCATTGGAGATTTCATATTAACTATTCACCCCTTTCATTTGGCATTGCAATCCCTTGAATTTCAGGTATGCAAACTTCTCCATCTGCTACACACATCCTCTCTGATTCAAGAATAATAGTTTCTCTTCATGTGGCACTTCCCATGTATTGTCTGTATTTTCAATACTGTCAATGGGATCCTTAGACTTGTTGTCAACTGGAGTTTTTCCGACTGCTATCAGTTAATTTCAAGTGTGGTTCCTATGTGAGTTTTCCACTGTAGCTTCCTCTTTTCTTCCAACTATTTTGGATCTTTTCAGCAGTGCTTCTCTTTCTAAGGCTGTGGTAATATATTAGGAGGACTGTTATTTTTTGAATCTGTAATCTTATCTGATTTCCCATTCTCACATTTTTATGGTAGAGATTTAGGCTGTTTCACATGAGTGTCAGGAGTTCCTGTTCAAGTTACACCACCACTGTGTTCTTATACTCACAGATACTTTGACTGCACTGTCAGCCACTTTTAATTACCACAGAAGTCATGTACCTCTGTCATCCCTACTTTAGTTCAGGTTATTTTTTTTTTTTAAGTTTTTCCTTTTCTTTTATTTTCTTCAAGCGTACCTAGACTTTTATTTAAATAGAAAGATATTATACACAAAGAGGTACCAAGCTGATAAGAATGCTTTTTGTTAAGACATTTTAGGTCCAGTATCTTTATGAGGCTGATCCACAGTGCTTATTTTCACTCGAGTTATGAAAATTTGTATCTTGTTTTGGATGTTCCTCCAACTCTACTTGAATACATATTGTTTTTAATTTGTATTTCATATGTTCCCACCTCCCTTAGAATGTACTTAGGCAATTAAGTGAGGCACATCTTATAAGTATTTCCCTTTATTATATGTTTCCCACCTTTTATTTTCTGGTAACCCTCTTATTTAATATATTTTGTTTTGTTTAATATTTCTGCAATTTTATTCTCCTGTTTTATGCTATTTGTTCAAAAGGGATTTTACTTTACATTATGTTTTATCTGTTGATCTAAACTTTCTTAACTTTGGTATTTATCCTTTATTTTTCTTTATGTCCATATTTGTCTAGTTAGGTTTGAACTTCCCTGTAAAAGAAAAAAATGCTTGTCATGGTTTAAACAGAAAGATATATATATATATGTGTCTTAAATCTAGTTCATATCATATTTCAACTCCTTATCTTAATTCAATAATGATAAACATTGCCTTGTGACCTCAAAATTGGCTTATGGAAATTATGAACTAAAATTTAATTTCTAATTTTTTTTGTCCCCAATGGGACAGAGGTATCTTTCCAAACTTACAACAATACAATCTGAGGTTTGATTTGCCACAGTGAATGCAGCAGATTTGCTCTAAAACAAACAAACATTTCTTTTTATCTCATCATAAATCAATGATTATGCAATGATCACTTTTCCCCAAATGCTTTCTCACTTCAACTCTTTTAACCACATCATCTTATTGGTTAGCAATAAGCTTAGATTGGCATCACATCCAATTGATTCAACAACCATTGTATACAGAAAACTGTGTTAAATCGCTTCAAGAAACTTCCTTACTTCTTGATTTCATACAATTCCAGTTAATGTATCTAAAATTCTAATTTTTCATGATTATTTCTTCAGTATCCTTGTTTATAACAACCCTGATCTCATTATCTAATTTCATATTGATATCATCTGTCTGATATCAACAGTTGTCAGTTAAAATCTTTCTATCTTTTAATCTCATGATTGTAACTCCTATAGATTCATCTTCTTGACAACCATTTTTATATCCACAGTCCCAACAAGCTGCAGCTCATCCCTTAAATAAAGACTTACTCCATTTTTCTTTTAAAAAAGTCTTACTGTTATCAAACGACTTATAACCTGGTATTTGAAAATAATTTCTGTTGTCAGTATTCTCCAAATCTTATTAAGTTTTATTAACTCCCATTATATAATTGTTTCCAATTTTAATTGGAGACCTGAATTCATCCATTTTCTTCCTATTGTAGGATAAAAAGTAAAAATGGTACTGTGTGGATTATAATTTATCTTTAAAACACTTTGGTGTATATGTGTTATTGTGAGTGTAACTTGCATATGGTTGCATGAAAAATAACCTTTACAGTTTTTGAAGAAAAATATTCAGTATATGAAAAATAAAAGTAACAACAGTGTTTACATTAAACAGAAGATGGAGGCTGGAGTGAATGGTCAAATTGGACAGAATGTACGGCATTATGTGGAAAGGGTAATCAAGTTCGTCTGCGGCTTTGTAACAACTCAAAACCTGAAGATGATGCCACATGTGAAGGGAATGAAACAATAAGCCAGAAGTGTGAGATTGTTATGGAGAACTGCAAAGATAAAAGTAAGAAATTACTTTAGTAGATATAATGACCTGCATAAATTGATTTCAGGAACATTTTTTCGTTCTTTAAAGATTAAAGTGGCTAAAATGGGATTGATAAAATTTTGATATTATTTCCTGACAAATGTGTTAATTCATTCATGAAAACTTGTTTGATTTATTTACATAATTATTATTTACTGTAATGCTATTTTCTTCCACTATTTTTCAGATTTTTGGAACGTTTTTAATGTATTGTTACGTCTCCGTTTGTTAATTAACTTTCCGTAACTTTGTTCCGACGAAACTTTAGCGACACAAGTCCTTACTTAACAAAACTGGTTTATTCTTTCCGAATACAACTTTACGATA